AATCTTCACTCCATACAATACTTTGATCTTTATAAAGCGACTTGAAGTTTGGCTCACAAGTGGCAGTCACGTGAGAGATGAACCTGGAAATATAATTCAAATGTCTGAGAAATCCTCTGAATTGCTTTTTTATTTTAGGTGCAGGCATGTCTAGAATGGCTCTATCCTTATCTAGATCCACTTCTATACCTTTTTAACTGACAATGAAACCCAAAAGCTTCCTGGAACAGACACCGAAAGTGCATTTGTTTGGATTCAAGCAGAGTTTATGCTTCCTCAAACGCTAAAACAAATTCGAAAAGTATTCTACATGATCTTCCTCAGTCTTAGACTTGGAAATCACATTATCAACATAAACCTCAATTTCCCTGGGCATCATGTGATGGAATAGGATAGTCATAGCCCTCTAATATGTAGCACTAGCGCTCTTCAAGCCGAAGGGCATCACTCTATAATAGAATGTTCCATAAGGGTTGATAAACATTGTTTTTTCCATGTCTTCAGGTGCCATCTTAATCTGATTATACCAGGAAAAATCATCCATAAAGGAGAAAACATTGAACTTGGCTTTATTATCTACCAACATGTCAATATGTGGCACAGGAAAATCATCTTTTGAACTGGATTTATTCAAATCTCTATAGCCTACACATATTCTAACTTTTTCATCTTTCTTCAGAATTAACATGATATTGGTCACCCATTATGGATAAAGAGACGTGACAAGGAAATCAATATCAATCTATTTCTGCACTTCTTCTCTAATCTTGACTGCCATGTGAGGATAAATTCTTCTTAGCTTTTGCTTCATTGGCGGACATTCTAGTTTAAGCGATAGTCTATGCTCTACAATGTCAGTATTAAATCCTGACATATCTTGATACGACTAAGAAAACACGTCGACATACACTTTCTACAATTCTATTAAATTTTTCTTGACATATTCACCAACCAATGCCCCAATATTGACTTCTCTCTTGTTCTCTTTAGAACTCAAGTTGACCAGTTCAACACGCTCTTTATATGGATGAATAGCTTTCTCCTCATGCTCAAGCAACCGCGTAATTTCTTATGGAATATCACTGCCTTCTTCACTCTCTTATTTCACTTCATATACATGGAATTCAAAGTTGAGAGGGGACGTAGGGTTATTGTTTTCAATAGGATTATCATCTATTAATTTGCACATGATTTATGCTTTGTTTTAGAAAACAGACAAATTAAAAAGTGATAAGCAATAACTGGAATTATTCTTAATAGGTTTTTTTGTTACCATTTTCCAAAAAAAAGCAAAAAGTGAAAAAAAATATTGGACAACAAAACGTCTTTTATTAATGATCTTAAAATTTGAAACAAAGGATGCCCGTACAAAGTCATTTTCACCTTGGGTAAAGTGAAAGGAATTATTTGAAAAAGACAAAACAAATTACTTTGACACGTGAACGATACTAGGAACATCCACGACTGTCTAATTTTGAGCATCCAAACTAGTCTCTCTGCGCGTTGTAAAGCAAGGCCATTCTGGATCTGAATAATCTTTAATGATGGCAGCAACATCCTGATTTCCAGGGTGAAAAAATTGGCACTGTGGAACACCTCTTGGATAGGTCTGACAACAAATTCATACTTCAATGCTCTTCCAGTCATATAGCGCAAGAACCCTAAACTATCTTTGTTCTTATTCTCAAGAAGCTCAACAATCTTCCCCAACCCTCTTATTACCCTCTCTTCACTACCTGATGTGCATCTTTCAATGAACAACATTGACTATGTCGAAGGATTGGAACTCAGTCCCAATTGCCTTCTCATATGCATTTATATATCAAAAAGAAGAAAAGTGACTGACCAACAAGGCTTGCTCACCGTAAATGATTACCAACTTCTCATTTTTAACAAACACGAGTCTCTGATGAAGAGTGGACGTTACTGCCCCAGCATTGTGTATCCAAGGTCTTCCCAATAAACAATTGTATATCAGGTAAATGTCTATCACTTGAAAAATGACTTGTGTCATGTGGCGGTGAAAATTTTGAGTTTAAGCCATTAATTGAATTAACTCGCAAAGTGAAAGTTGCCACCGCACTTTATTGTTTTCAAAGGGAAATGGGAAAATAACGAATAAAATCCAAAAAAAAGAATAGAGATCAAGGTACAAGGATTGGTTATGAAAATGGAAGGTATTAACACCTTAAACATATAGGTACTCTGCAAGAACCTCTTTGAAAATCTGTATATTTGGTGAAAAATAGTTGTTTGCAAAAGTGACTAGAGAGATAAGAAAAGAAATTGCTTTATTATTTTGATTCGACAAGATTTCGAGAGCCTTGTGCCTATGTATCAACCAAGTGCATTGAAGAATCAGAACCACATAGTTTTTCTGAAAAAGAACAAATATGTTGATTGATTTTAAATGAAGAGACAAATCATTATTTTTAAGGAGAAGACTCGACTAATCACCCACAAAGCATGAGAAAGATAGACAACGCACCATCATGAGGAAGGGTTTGGACACGCCTCTAGTACTCAAGTGGAAATATCAGCATCTTTAAAATCATGGGGATAGGGAGATGACATCTAGATTATAAATGAATTATGTCTAATCTTGAAAAAGATTTTAAAGTTGAAAAGGTGCACGAGGGCACAAAAGGGGTTTGAATGAGGTTAAATAGTTTTTAGTCTTTTTGAAAGTGTTGGAATATACTTATGTGGTTTAGCATTTCATTAAAGAAAAAAAAAGTTTGAAAAGTCACTTGACAAGGTCAAGGTTTATTATGAAAGTGGTCAAGTTTATTGAAAACGAGAAGGTTTTGAAAAAGATGACAAAGTTTTGAAAATTGAAGAATGGGAGGAGATGAAGAGATTATTCTAAAGCATAAAGTAAAAGCTAAGGTAAGGAAGGTATAACCAAGCAAGAAGACAACACTTTAAATAATATAGTCAACAAAAAATTCCCATCCTTTGGATTAAAGCCGAAGCAAAGAATAACCAAGAGTGTATCGGGCATCAAGTGAAAATAAATCACAAGCAGAAAGTGCATCAGGTGAAAATAAATCACAAGCTGGGGAAGTGCATCAGGTAAGCCCAAGGTATCAGATAAAGCTCAAAGGATCGGATGATCAACATAATATCGAATAAGAATCTCTGCATCAGATGAAAAGCTATAAAGACAGACAAAATTAGGATAACAGAGAAATAATCAGAATATCTCATGAAACAAAAACTCGAGCCAAAGTGAATTAGAACCATGTATCAGAGCTAAATGAAATAAATGAGACTTGCTTTTAAATTAATGGATAATTAAGCAATTCTCAACCAAGTAAAATCATACATACTTGAATAAATAGCAAAGTGGAGAGCATGGTTCAAAACTACACATTATTCAATTATGAGAATCAACAAAGTAGATGATAAGAGATGAAATACAACCATAAGTCTCATGAAAGTTTCTCAAAACAAACTTCGAACACATTTCAATTAAAAGACAAAACTTTCACTCTTGAAAGAACAAAGCTCAAATCATCTCAAGTGTCAAGTAAATAAAGATCGAGTGATTTCAAAAAAAAAAGGAATTAGAAATTACGAGCCAAAATATGATAAATGGCTTCTCACATCTTCAAAATAAATATTTCATTCCTCTAAACCAACAATGCATGTTATGGACTCAAATTGGCACTCAAAAGTTACTCAAGACATGAAAGAACAAGGTGGAAACAAGCTTTTATCATGCGCAACAAAACCGGACAACAACTACGCATATGAAACAAGCTCGAAAAGTTCAATCTCATACATGTTTAACACAAATAGAAACAATAAAGTAATGCCATGGTTGAATTATTCTTTCAAAAATTAATACAACTAGCATCCTAATGTCATTAAAATCAAATTAAACTAGCACTAACCCAAGTTATGAGTCAATTTAAATTCCAAACATGGAAAAACAAGTTCAAAACAAGTCTAAATCATTCGGATCAATATTCGGGCAGCAACAACACATATACAGTTAAGCTCACTAAATCCATTTTAAACAAGCTCAAAAACACATGGAAATAGAACGAAGTCACAACTAACTTTCTAACTTCAAATTTTAACTCAAATGAATCAACATGTCATCAATATTCCTTCACATGACATGGTATCATTATCAAAACTCATGACATTTATCAAACTTCACAAATACCACCATGATTCAATTTTAACACAAAAGGGAAGCTATTGACATCAAAGTAATTTAACTCATAACATCATCAAAACTTAACTTCGATTTGTTAGAACAAGACAATGTCATCACCAACAATTAACCATAACAATGTTGGGGGAGAAACTAGGAGCATTGATGCATAGTGTAGGAACAAACACCTTTGAGAGAGACACACCACTTATCCACCTAAAACTTTAAGGTGATAGGTGAGTGAGTTCTTCCACTTATATAAAGCTTAAGTCTCCACATTTCTATCCAATATGAGACTATTTCCCCACTTACTCACACTTGCTATATTATTCCAACCGTTATTACCATCGATCTTAAACAAATTCAAACAACAACAACATCTTATGCTAACAATTAATTCATGATTTCAACAATTCATCCCTAATTCTCAACAACAATTAGCTTCAACAATAATATCAATTAATTTCAACAATTCATCACTAATATTCAACATCAACTTACATAATAAATTTAACACAAATATCACTATTCATTATCTTCTCAACCTTTGACAAAATGATTATCACAAAAACCCTAGCATTCAATTCCATTGTTAAATCAAAATAATAATATCACAAAACTTTCACAATACCTCACAACATCATCACCATCAATTTAACAAAAAATAATACTACAAATTACACTAACTGAAAAAAAGTAAAGATGATATGAAATTATCAAATAAAAAAAAATGGAGGAATTGAGCAATGAGTTGTGAAGCTTTGGACAGTTACAGAGGGAGTATTAAAGTGAAGAAGGGTCATGACTGGTTGAAGTTGTTGACAGGAGGCGAATGCTGGGAGGTGGTCCGGTTGACGGAAGGGTAAGACTGGAGAAGACGGATAGGCTGGCCGGTGAGAGAGGAAGGGCAGTGGGTCGGCCGAGAGGGAGTATGTACGAAGGTTGTGTCGTGAAGATGGTGAGGAAATTGAAGAAGGAGCAATTTAATTGGGCTCTGTTTGGATGTCCCCTGATATTGCATTGTTCTCAAATGTCAAAAAATAGTTTTTCCAAACAAGTCTTTAACCTATTCACGTTTCTCTTTCTCCTCCCTGATATCTCTATCTACTTCTACTTAAATAACAAAAACTTAGGTTAATCAATTCTAAAAGAATGTCTAAAATACCTCTTTTGGATAAGATTGACGTGAAAAAATGAAAGAACTAAAATAAAATAATTCAAAAAATATTTTGTATTTAATTTTATTTGAATAAAAAAAGAAATCGGAAATAATAAAAAATTATAAAAAAAAATATTTAAATAAACTATGAATTCTAAAAGTTAATAAAAACGATTGTAAATGATCAAAATCGAAATAAAAATGAGAATAAGGAAATTCGGCTGAACAAACGCTGACAATTAAAAAAGAGACGGTAAATTGTACAGCGAAAAAATAAAGCGAGCTTACTGACATGATCTACGCGAAATGCATAGTCATAAAACTATAGATAAAGGTGAAGATTCAAAATATTTTCTTTGCTAATTTCTCGTATCGTGCTGAAACGTTTTTAAAAGTATGTCTGTAGAACTGAAATATCAAATATTATCGACATATAAATAACTTGGCACAATCTATGAAACGAGTAAAGAGTTAAAAATGTATGAAGTGAAATATCAAATATTTTTAACTTTAAAATGAGACAAATGTTGATTTAAATTGACTTTTAGTCAATTTAAGTACGAATAATGATTTGAATGCGATGAAAGAATGACACTCGAATAAAATTGGGGTATGATAATTTGGAAAACATAAGACCCTATCAACAATGTAAGATCTAATTCACTAATTACTATTCTCTTGGATCCCTCAAAAGCTTTGAATACAACTCTATTACATCTCCTAGAAACTCCTTAATAAATCAACTTAAACAAGGTTTTTTCTGACATAATATTGAGCGAAGAACACTACAAAACACGCGTATGATTGTGCAAGTTACTTTGAGGAGAGTTTTAAAAATTCCTCCAATTTAAAATAAAAAGTAACCTGTTCTATAAGATTATTTTACGGGAGTTTGAAACCTCCGTAATTTGATGAAATTTTTGCATAATTCTATTAACATTTTGGCTCTGGATATTGTTTTTGATAATTGATTTTTATTTTAATTATTTATAGTAGAATATTTATGAATGATTGCGATGGTGTAAAGAGTTTTACACTGACCTACATAATAATTAATCTCTTATTTTAATTAATAATATTTTGTTTTTTTTAACTTATATTAATTACAATATATAATATAATTATCAACATAATATATAATATATAGATTATGTACGAAATTAAAAAAGAAATAGAATGTTGAAAACCTTTCGGTTCCAGTTATCCTCAAAACTTTATAGCGCTCTGCTTCTCACACTTCCAGACCACAACTTATGCTCACCGTCTTCGATTTTCCATCTTCATCTTCTCCTCACAACGGTCACCCTCGACTCACTGGTTGTCTTTTTCATTAAGGTTAGTTTATCCTTCTTTATCCATTTTATTAAGGAAAAAATAGAAGCAAAACAAGAATAGAAGTTAATAAGTCTCCTCTATTTGTTTTTCTAAATTATACTAAATGCGATATGAAACTGGTGATGATACGAAACTATTGTTACTTTCAAATCAACTAACAATAGACATCTCAATCACACTCTCAATGTTAATCGTATGCACTTCATGGTTTGTGTTTGATTTTAATTTTTGTTTATTTACTTTGTCAAATTTTTGTTTGGATTTTTGATGAAAAATAAATATTGAGTTATAGACTATTTTGACACGACACTTCGGAGGAGTTCTAAAGTCACAAACTTAGTGCTGATCAAAATTGATCTGCCACTGTTAAGGGCAACCACAAGATTATAGTATCTAATACAATATAAAGGTTGTATAGTAAAATAAATCTTAGTTTGTTTTTAAATATGTGATATATGATGATGATGATGATGATGATGCATTAATATCATGGATCAAGTATTAAAAGCTTTAATAAAAACCAAATTCAACACTGGTTCAAACATTCCCTTAAGGTTTTTCTTACTTGATTTTTTGTTTAATGGTTGTTGGTTTTTTAAAAAGGTATTTGATTAAAATACTTCTATTTTGTTTTTTGAATTTAAACTTAGAATCTAGAGTTTTTGTTTGTGGTTATTGTCTATTTTGAGTTATGTTTGAACATCATATTTTTCATTTTATTTGTTAGTGATTATTAAAATAGACTATAGAGTATATATAGGCTAACTATTCACACTGAATGATTCTCTTTCTTCTTTTTTTCTGATAAATTTACTTTTTGTTCGTAGTTTGTTTCCTCCAGAATCTTAGTGTTTGGTGTAGGCAGCCAAAAGGGTAACGAGAGTTATGGTGGATACACTCACAATTTTGAAGAGGAAGCATTTGATTCCCTCTCAAACGTATAAGTAAGAATTCATGTTTTATGTGTCTTTGGATGAAAGAGTGTATTTTAAAGTTTTCAAAGTTACAATAAGTTGCCTATGCTTTTCAATTATTATTTTAGGTGCTAAAATCGAATATTAGAACTTGTATCAGTTAATCATGATATTTTAAAGTACTTAATTCACCCCCCTCTTACCTTTAAAGATTGATCATCAAGAGAAATCATGAATATATTATTAATTCTTTTACCTTTAAGTATAACCTCATGTGTGACTTTGTCTTCTATCAAGCATTCATCTTTGGTGAACTTGATCTTGAAGCCCTTGTCACCAAGTTGGCTAATACTAAGAAGATTGTGATTTAGTCCTTCAACATAAAGAACATCTTCAATGGATGTCAAAAGTGCATTCTTGAATGGATATATCAATGAAGAAGTCTATGTTAAGCAACCCCCGGGGTTCAAAGATTTCAAGAATCCATCTCATGTTTTTAAATTGAGAAAAACTCTCTATGGTTTGAAACAAGCACCAAGGGCATGGTACGATCGGCTAAGTAATTTCTTATGCGAAAAAGGGTTTGAAAAAAGTAAAGTTGACAAGACTTTGTTTATCAAGAAAATCAAAGGTGACACTTTGCTAGTTCAAGTCTATGTTGACGATATCATCTTCGGCTCGTCAAACAAAGAAATGTGTGAAGAATTTTCAGCAATGATGCAAGGCGAATTTGAGATGTCCATGATGGGTAAAATGAATTATTTTCTTGGACTTCAAATCAAGCAATTAAAGGATGACATTTTCATCAACCAATCCATGTATTGCAAGAAATTGTTGAAAAGATTTGACATGGATAATTGCAAAGCTATGACTACACCAATGAATTCTGGTACATACGTTGATCAAGATGAATCGGGTGACTCCGTTGACATTACAAAATATCAAGGTATGATTGACTCTTTATTATATTTGACGGTAAACCGTCCTGACATAACGTTCAGTGTTTGTCTATGTGCTCGCTTTCTCATGGCGGTGAAATGGACCATGAAGTATCTCAAAGGAACAATAGATTCTTGCCATGAGTTCAGAGATGATCAAACAAGAGATAGGATAAATCAATCTTAACATTTGTTCCAAGACAGAACAACAAGTATTGTTGGTCAGCATTTATATAGTCTGGAGAACTTGTTTCCTTCCTATGATGAATGCAACCATGGATGATTCTTGCCCAAATTTTGTACTTATTTTTCAAATCTCTGACCTTTGAAGACGCTTGCCCATTTGTAAAAATTTCTGCATAAACTTATGACATTTCCATTCTGCCACTAGAAATTCCAGTTACTCCAGTTCCTTCAAAACCTAGAAGTTTTCTGATTAGATTTTCAGTAATGGAGATTTTCTTACCCATCACGAATGAGAAGATGACTTTTGGAGAAGCAATTGCGTGTATCCAAAATTCCTTAATAAGGTGTGGAAAAACAGGACCAACTAGACGGTCAAAGAAGTTTCCCCATCCTTGAAACTCCACAGTAGGAAGAAGATCAAAGCCATTTTCTTTAAGATTCTCAAAGTCCACCATTAATTCACTTATAATCTCTAAGCTATCCACTGGAATGAGAGTGGTTCTCTCAGGAATAACGAATGCAACCATGGATGATTCTTGCCCAGATTTTGTACTTATTTTTCAAATCTCTGACCTTTGAAGACGCTTTCCCATTTGTAAAAATTTCTGCATAAACTTTTGACATTTCCATTCTGCCACTAGAAATTCCAGTTACTCCAGTTCCTTCAAAACCTAGAAGTTTTTTGATTAGATTTTCAGTAATGGAGATTTCCTTACCCATCACGAATGAGAGGATGACTTTTGGAGAAGCAATTGCGTGTATCCAAAATTCCTTAACAAGGTGTGGAAAAACAGGACCAACTAGACGGTCAAAGAAGTTTCCCCATCCTTGAAACTCCACAGTAGGAAGAAGATCAAAGCCACTTGCTTTATGATTCTCAAAGTCCACCATTAATTCACTTATAACCTCTAAGCTATCCACTGGAATGAGAGTGGTTCTCTCAGGAATGGCGAATGCAACCATGGATGATTCTTGCCCAGATTTTGTACTTATTTTTAAATCTCTGACCTTTGAAGACGCTTGCCCATTTGTAAAAATTTCTGCATAAACTTTTGACATTTCCATTCTGCCACTAGAAATTCCAGTTACTTCAGTTCCTTCAAAAGTTAGAAGTTTTCTGATTAGATTTTCAGTAATGGAGATTTCCTTACCCATCATGAATGAGAGGATGACTTTTGGAAAAGCAATTGCGTGTATCCAAAATTCCATAACAAGGTGTGGAAAAACAGGACCAACTAGACGGTCAAAGAAGTTTCCCCATCCTTGAAACTCCACAGTAGGAAGAAGATTAAAGCCATTTGCTTTAAGATTCTCAAAGTCCACCATTAATTCACTTATAACCTCTAAGCTATCCACTAGAATGAGAGTGGTTCTCTCAGGAATGACGTATTGTTCAGATAGGATGTTCTCAGAATGAGCAGAGGAGGAAGCCATTGGAGCACTTAGGTTGAGAGAAGAAAAATGGATTTCAGAGAAAAATACACAGAGACGGGTGAGTTTTGAAAGAGAAGGTAAAAAGTGAGAAGGATTTTTACAAAGGTATTTATATGAAGACTT